CCCCCTCCTTCTATTACCCCCCTCCTTCTGTTACCCCCTTCCTTCTGTTATTCCCCCCTCCCCTGTAGCGTGGCTAAGCTCCTCTCCGGTCTGCGGTGCCCGGCCGGAGTGATAGGAAGTGGGTACATGTTCCGCGCAGAGTTTCTGTTTCCTGTACCCGGCCGGGTATCGCTCAGGCCAGGCACCGTGGACCAGAGAAGAGCTCGGCCACGTTACAGGGGAGGGGAGAAGCAGCGCTGCAGCCGCCTGAGGCTCTTTACAGAGCGCTCAGGCGGCTGCAGCGGCCCGGTTTTAAAAGGATTTAGGGTGGCCTGGGGGGCAACTGCCTCCATTCCCCCTGCCCAGCCCGCCCCTATTAGGTTGACAAATTTATCACACACACACAAGCACAACCCTGTACAAATGCATTTATAGACACACACCTACAAAGCTCTTGTGTTTACAGGCACATAACTCTATATGCACACACTCAAACTTGACCTTATACAGGCACATTATGCTTGCAAAAAATATATTAATATTGCCAGTATGCAAACAGCTTCTAGTGATAGCTGTTTCACCATACACTCACAACCCTAGAAAACTGGATCCATCTATCTATCTATCTATCTATCGATCTATCTATCTATCTATCTCATGCACAACAATAATAAACAAACACAATTTTTACTCAAAGGATTACATTTAAAAAGAATAAAGGTTAGGAGTAGTGGCAATGTGATGTGCTGCTGAATTAGCTGAGAAAATAGGAGGCCCACATGGGCACCCTGCCTGGGGTCTTCTGGTGAGTTACTCTGGCTCGGTGTCTATCTGTCCATAATCATAGTTGTTCTGAAGTACTGCAATTTTGATATGTACTACATTTAAATGAGCAACAATTAATACATATACACATTGTTTATTGTGTATGTGCGTGTGCCTGTGAGTTGAATATGTACAGACCTATAGCTATGATACTCACTGTTTTGTAAGTTACTGTGTATAAGTATTTGCACATAGTAACATGGTAATCAAGAGTTAAAGAAAGTTGTGGGTCTATTAAGTTAAACCTTCCACATCTCTTTCAGCATTTGATCTGGACATATTTGTAGGCATTCAGCCCTTAATTATTCTTGTGATTTGCAGGTTCGTTATGTGTCCAGGAAGGGGAAGACCAAGTAGCTGAGGGTGGGTTGCCTTGGCTAAAGCAACGTCCCCCTGAGTTGTGTCAAGATGGGACCCCTTTGTCTGACCAAACCCCAGATCCCAGTTTACCTCCAAGTCACCCTGACACCCCTCCAGGGCCTACATGCTGCCAGTTGCGAGAAGGAACTCCATGCCCTCCTATTCAGGAAGAAGAAAGTCCTCCTGAGATGGAAACACCAACCCATGCACCTGGTAACTCAGAGGAGCAAGACCTCCCACAAATCCTTCCGGACAGTGGACTAAGTGACCCCACACCTAGCACAGAATGCATGGAGGAAGCTGTGGACTTTGGGGGGGAAATTGAACCCCCCCTAAAATCACGTATGCAAAAGGTTTGTGTCAACTGTTACAATGAAGTAAAGTAATTCACTCATGCTTCAAAAAGGCTCTCCTGTCCAAGTACCACTCTGATATTTGTCTTCTTTTGCAGGATGCTGACCCTGCTGTGGTGGCTCTCGTGCTGTTCCTTGATTTCTCGCTTGCATTTCTCATCTCATATTTTCTGACATGATGAGATGAAGAAGTGTCCCTTATCTTGCGCACAATCTGTCTTTTCTCTCTTTCTCTCTCCTTTTCTACCTCTTTATCCCTAATGTTTACATATAAAGGGCTTTCTCTATCTGTCACATTCTCTCACTATTTGGACTGAATCTTTTTACATGTAAAAAATTATCACAGGTTTTATCTGAAATCCCCTTCTAGACTAGATTAGAATATTTTGAGATAAAAAGTCTAAATATACGATATTCAGTCCTTTTTCTATCTCTCTCCTTGTTTTCTCTCTTTCTCTGTTCCAGTCTTACTGTCTCTCTCTGTTTCAGTCTTTTTTTCTCTCTCTAGCTGTTTCTTTCTCTCATGGTTATTCACTAAAGTGAGAACTGTCAGGAAATCAACATGAATTTCAAAAGTAAAGGGTTTCTCCAACGTCCATGATCACTCGTACTTTGAGAAGTGGTCATGGAGGATGGAACAGACTGCCAAATGTCAATTTTGTGCAAAATTTAAATCTGTTGTCCATGCACCTAGAATGCTGGTAACAAATGTTCTTTCCTCCATCCCTTCCCGTTTTCCTATCCAATATCCTATCCCCTTCCCATCTGCATGCACTCTGAACCAGTTAGACGGTCCAATCCAAGGCTCCTCTATGAGAAGCCTTTGATTTGACTGCACTTCAGATGGGGGCATTCTGAGCAAGACCAGGAACTTCACTTGGCATTGGATTCCGGGTAAGTAAAAGCTTATTTAATTAATTTTATAAGCGTTTGTGTGTGTGTGTGTGTGTGTGTGGATCAGGGGACCTAAAGAATAATGCCCAATTGGGCATTAGTCGGTTTAAATAAAACCTTAATTTAAAAGTGTTTTCAGTCAAGCTCAATTTGTTTTTAAAAAAATCATGAAGTCCTATATGCTTTCAGTTCAGCTATTTTGAAATCACTTTGATTTCTGGCAATTCTCACTCTGTCTGTCTCTGTTCCAGGCACGGTTTCTCTCTCTCCATATATCTCTGCCTCTCTCTTTCTTTCAGTCTCACTCAGAAACAATCTCGTTAATCCCATTACATTGACAATATGGACTATGACTGTTGAATACCCATTTCCTTTGAACTTTTTCTTTCTTTTCTCTTCTCTGCCACTGCTTCCCATTGTAGGCTCTATTTAGCTTTTTCTGTCACACCCTCCCCTGAGAGCACACCTATATGGAATGCCATCCAGATAATTATATTTGCAAGTTTTTTTCATTGCAGAATTTAAAAAGACCCCACCTCTGTTCCTGAATTGCACCTTAATCCCCTCACCCCTCCCTTGCATCACACACCCACCCTCCTGGATTGCCTCTATTCTGCTCCTTTTCAAATTCATCCCTAGCACTATACTTCCCCTAAACTTTGTCCTAATTTACGCTATACCCCTATGCTTCCCTTGACTTGTGCTTTATACCCTTTTCAGAGCATGCACTACATTCCTATTTTTGTAGCAGTATTTTGCCTTTTCTTGAACCTGGAAGATGCAAAAAAGAAAACGAGACAAAAACCTGATCTAATAAAAATGAAAATGCAAAAAAACCACATGATGTTCACTAATTCGATGAGCCCAGTTTGACACAATATGTGAGTTACAGTGCAATGTGATCGCACTCCAGGTATAGACAAGAAGCTGGCTTTTTAGTCGAGAAGGCATGTAAATCACTAATATTGTCAAAAAGACCATTATATTTCAAATTCATGACACAACACACAGTCTTTGCCATGAGTAATTTGTGAGCAAAAGTGGCAGTTAGGTTGATGCATCTTGACCTCAACACAGACAGAGGGCTATCTACCAGCCAGGAATTTATATCATTTTAACGAGCAGATGCAGCTTCTTGTTAAGCTAACAAGAACTTTACTGTCACCGCATTGATGCACAGAAGCTATCATGATGCCAATAGAAAATGCAAAAAGTGTAAACAGTCTGCAGTCTTTATACTACCTAATTAGGCCCTGAAATGTATAAAATCTCGTTTTACGTGCCTGGGTTACAGGAACACCGTTACTTACACTAGGGTCAAGAAAATCTGCCCCACAGCCAATCACTGTCCTCTCATTAACTGCCCCCTTTGCATGACTTTGACATTCTATACAGATAATAAGAGGACAGTGATTGGCTGTGACAGTGGAGTCAAGGCAGCAGCTTAACTCACACTGATCTCTCATTGATAATAAAGATGTTTTGTAGGAAAGGAGATAGGTCTAGGGGTTAAGTTATGTTGCAGAAAACTGGAGAGCACTTTTCTTTCCGTTTCTTTTCTTTTTAAAATAATACTCTTCAGTTTTACAAAAACTTCAGCTTTCAATAGCAGAAGGCACTTTTATAAATTAACTAGGTTACACCCCCTGGGCTGTTAATCAGACAACCTGTCCAGTTACTTTCTGGTTTGGTTAGCTCAGTGGAGCTAAACTCAATAGACAGCAATTGCTCACAGCACATGCCTTGCAAATACTTCTCATTGAGCTGCATTGGGAAGTCTGTGATTGGACAGACAGAAAGTCTGGGCGGGGTTAGAAGGGGAGAGCTTGCAAAAGCTGCAGACAAGATATCTGCAGCTTTTACAAGCTGTTTTTATTTATACCCCTTATGGGAAAAATGTTTTAATAAATGCATGCATCTTGTCAGTGGGGGTGTATCTACTAAACAGTGATTGTGTTTGGATTTGGTATGTCCCTTTAGGTTAAACAAAGGAGACTGTAATAGGGAGAATACTAATCTTAACTATGAGAAAAAATAAGTAAATTACAAAAGCACTTAATTTGCTTTGGTGCTCACAGTGCACCTTTAACAGTTCCCTCAGGTAACTCAAGTTGAGAGAGTCAGCTCTAATGCTGCCACTTTATCCCACAATGAGCTCTTAAATGAACACTATAGGGTCAGGAACACAAACATGCATTCCTGATCCTATAGTGTTAAACTAACTATTGAGCCCCCTAAATAGCTGTAAAACTCACCTTATTTTCAGCCCGGCACAGGTCTGTCGGAGCTTGCTATGCCCCAAATACGCCTCAGTGGCTGACATCATCAGAAGTGATGATCTTTCATAGGAAAGCATTAGATTGGCTGAGATCATCAATTCTGATGATTTCAGCCAAGGAGGCAGGTTGGGGGCGGAGCCAAACACTGCCCGGTCCAATCAGCATCTCCTCATAAAGATGCAGTGGATCAATGCATCTCTATGGGGAATGTTCAGCGTCATACTGAATGTGGAAGGAGTGTCCACTAGAAGTGTTCCTAGGCTGTAATGTAAATACTGCCTTTCCTCTGAAAAGGCTGTATTTACAACAAAAATCCTGCAAGGACATGGGATAAACACCAGAACAACTACATAACGCTCTGATGAATATAGTGTCTCTTTAAGTAAAGTCATTCTTGTTTTCAGCAGGTGCTTGTCCAATGAATAACAAGATCCAAATTATTTTAGTCTCAACGTCCTACAACTGGAATTTTAGTTAACATTCTATGGCCTTGATTTAATATTGTTGGATAAGCTTTCCGAATGATTTAATATTTTTGAATACAATTTTTTAATTATTTTTGCTATATATTAAATTATCAAAAAATATCATATATAAAAATAAAATCAATGTATAAATATATATATATATATATAAAACACACAAAATGTAAAAGTTTTTTATTATATTAAATCATTTTATACGTTTATACAAAAATATGAAATAATTTGGGAATCTTATCCAAAATATTAAGTCGAAGCTTATGGGAATATTTGTGGATAAACCATTTGGAAATATTTTCAACAGTGCTTAAAATTTGGGAAAGCTTATTTATTCAATGCCTATGTGGGGGAAAAATGTTCTGAAAGCTATTTAGAGTGTGATAATAGCCGTGTAACATGGTATAGAGGAAATGCTTGTGGTTTGTACTCTGTGCAGTGCTGGAGCAGAGAGGGATTACCAAGTACCCCTATTAAAAAAAGCAGAAAGCGGATGGATTTCCTGACGGAAAATAGGAAGGTCGAAGGGTCTTCAAGTACCCACATTGTCTATTATGAATATTAATCCTGCTATGTAAAGCATTGCAGTTTTATGGTTATGGTTTATGGTTAAATACACCTCTAGTGACTGTCTTGCTGACGGCCACTAGAGGTGATTCCTCCTCCTGGATCAAGTCAACCTTGGTCCTGCAATTAAATGTTACTCATAGCAGCACTTACTTGAAGGAATCACGAATGCAAATCTCCAGTCTATATGACATGCACTGGATTGGATATGATCGTGGATGTTATCATGCACATCTTTGGAGGCGGAGAAGGCAGCTGCAGTGGAGAAGTCTTGGTGCTGGAAATGAGGTAATTAATCTTTATTTTTACTTATTTTTATTTCAGTAAATGATACAAGGAAACAACAATTGTTATTTCCCAGACTATAGGTTGCCTTTAATGCTCATGCTGGGTAACCTATGTTCAGGCCTCAGTTTAAGAAGCTTTCTAAATGGTTCAATACTGTTAGAACATTTTTCAAAATTATTTCTTTACAAAAATTTCCATAGACCATTAGTAACTTATGTAGGTAAAAGTTTTCTAACCATATTGATTCATTTAGAAAACTTATTAAATCGAGGCCTTAGTATGTATGTTCAAAGTCATTGTTTTTTTCTATATCTTTTAAAAGGTGAGGAGCTTGAAAGCTAGTTAAACTGCCTTATGCAAAGAAAAAACAAAAGATAATGCCAGAAAAAGTAAGTGCTCGGAATCCAAAAGGAAAAGTTTATTTCACAAGGGAAAACAAAAGCCAAAGAAAAATCTTCTTTGCATGTTTCAGACCCACCCGGTCCTTAGACAGAGGAGTGCCTTATGCTTGGAAGCTTGACAGCTGAGATGATAATTTCCCAAAAAAATATCTAATATGCTCTATGCAGTGGCGTTCTAAGGAGGTGGGTTCTTCCCAAGGTACCATGCATTAATGGGGTACCATAAGAGTGCAGGGCCAGATTAAGGGCCCAGTGGGCCTGGTGCTGACAATTATGACGGGCCTAATTACAGAATCATATCGACCAAAAACAGTAAAACACTCCCAAGCGTCATGTATCTGATGAAAATGGTGCTGGAGAGAAAGAAAACAGCAGCTATAAGAAAACACATACCCCAGGCTAATCTCTCTCTAATTTATGTTTTCATCTTTTAAGTAAATCCATAACCCCTAACAGCAGTGTCCAGTCAAGCAGGAAGTCAATGGGCGGGGTAAAAGGGTGTGCCACTGACACAAATCACGTAACCTGCCAAAAGGGGCGAACATGCCCAAAAAGAGGATATGTCTGCCCAAAGAATTAGAAGGCCAGCCTGGTATGAATGCATGTCAGACTGCCTGCCAATCGTGCAGCTGGCCAACTAAGGGCATACTATGCAGACAGCACCCTGAGCTTGGCATAAATGCATCTAATGATGCGCTCGCTCCACGCTTTCTAAGGACTATCCCCTAGCACTCGCTGGTCCATAGTCTGGGACAGAGAAAAGCTGTATGTAGTGAGTGTAGAAGAAAGGGAACATGCCACAGTGTTAGAGAGACCAAAGTCAGCATTACCTTATAGGGTCAAGAACACAAACATGTATTCCTGACCCTATAGTGTTAACACCACCATCTAGCCCCCCTGGGCCCCTCATGCCTCCATAAATATAGCAAAATCTTACTGTATTCAAGCCTGACTCATGCTGTTAGACTCAGAAAAACAAGAAGTCTGCTGACATCATTAGAAGTGATGGCCTAATCCAATCACAGTGCTTCCCCATAGGATTGGCTGAGACTGACAAAGAGGCAGATCAGGGGCAGAGCCAGCATGATTCAAACACAGCCCTGGCCAATCAGCATCTCCTCATAGAGATGAATTGAATCAATGAATCTCTATGAGGAAAGTTCAGTGTCTGCATGCAGAGGGAGGAGACACTGAATGTTTGGATGCATTTTAGGCAGCCATGACCCAGGAAGGATCTCTAACAGCCATCTAAGGAGTGGCCAGTGAAGTTATCACTAGGCTGTAATGTAAACACTGCATTTTCTCTGAAAAGACAGTGTTTACAGCAAAAAGCCTGACGGTAATGATTCTACTCACCAGAACAAATTCAATAAGCTGTAGTTCTTCTGGTGACTCTAGTGTCCCTTTAACTATATTCATTGTCAGCCAGTCCACACAAGTTTTGTTCCCATACATCCCTCTTAAGTTTCCATACTTAAGTAAGAGTATGTGAAAAGTAGTTAGGGTTGCCATCTTTCTTGGAAAAACATACCGGCCTTGCTAATTTGCATAATTAAATATGTATGGGTGACATCGCATGATGTAAATCACAAGGAGTGACATAAGAGAAAATGCTGTAAAATCACCAAAAAACTACTTAGTTTGATTCTGCTGTATAGATGGATTCCTCCCAGTGGCCCCATGTCTCCCAGTGCCCCCCATGTGTTGATTACTCCAGGTCTCAGTGTTCCTATGTATCAGTGTCTCCCTGTGTCCCCATGTATCCCAGGGTCCCCATGTCACTAGGAAGACGGGAAGACCTGGGGACACAGGGAGACCTAGGGACACGGAGACACCAGTGACACTGGGAGACTAGGGGACTCTGGCTGGGATGCATGGGGACACTGGGAAAATAGGGGACACTTGAAGACATGGGGACATAGACACCAGGGACACAGACACTAGAGACACTGACTGGAGGACATGGGGACATTGAGACATGGGGGCACTGGGAGACATGGGACAAGGAGACACTAGGGACACTAGCTTGGAGACATGGGGACATTGAGACACTTGAGGCACTGGGAGACATGGGGACAGTGAGACACTGGGAGACTAGGGGGCACTGAGACACCAGGGGCACTGGCAGGGAGACATGGGGATACTGTGTCCCCATGTGTCTGTCATAATGTCTCCCAATGTCCCTTAGTGTCTCAGTGTCTGCCATAATGTCTCCCAATGTCCCTTAGTGCCTCAGTGTCTGCCATAATGTCTCCTAATGTCCCTTAGTGTCTTAGTGTCTGCCATAATGTCTCCCAATGTCCCTTAGTGTCTCAGTGTCTGCCATAATGTCTCCCAGTGTCCCTTAGTGTCTCAGTGTCTGCCATAATGTGTCTCAGTGTCTGCCATAATGTCTCCCAGTGTCCCTTAGTGTCTCAGTGTCTGCCATAATGTCTCCCAGTGCCCCTTAGTGTCTCAGTGTATGTCTCCTTGCAGCCTTTCCCCATCTCTTACTTCCCTGAGCTGTAGGCTGTCTCTGCAGGGTGGGAGTTGCTGCCTGGACTCTCTGTAGCTGCTCCCCTGCAGATCAGTGAGTATAGATAGGCAGGGAGGGATATACTGGAACTTCCTATCCCTGCCTCTCTCCATACACAGTGACCCCTACCCTACTGGCCAGTGCTGGTATTGCAGAGTAATCTCTTGTTTATACTGAGAAAAATACCAGCATTTGTATTGCCAGTATCACTGCAATATTGGCACCAGCCAGGCAGCCTCAAATACTGGATGTGCCAATAAAATAAAAGCCAATAAAAAAAAAAAATATATATATATATATATATATTTATAAATCAATGGGCCTATTCCATGGGCCTGGGCCTGGAGCTGCAGCTCCATCAGCCCCTATGTTAATCCGGCCCTGTAAGAGTGGGACCGCACACTGGCGACCGCACACTGGCCCATGGGGGCACGGCACAATCGCAGGGTGACGGGCAGGTGGGGCAGTGCTCACTACATATAGCGTGGCTGAGCCGCGGACACGGAGTGACAGGAAGTGCTCACAGAGAGCACAGAACTGCTTCCTGTCTGACCCGGTAGGGGAACAGAAGCTCCTCCACTCTGGTCTTCAGCTCAGCCATGCTACAATAGGGTATAAGAGGGGCTCAGGAAAGGGATGAATTAGACACCTAGGGGATTAAATAGTCGCATGAAGCTGGTGGTGTTATTTAGACACATGGAGGGGCTGGGGGGTTAATGAGACACAAGAAGAGGATGGGGTTAATGAGACACAAGAAGAGGATGGGGTTAATGAGTCACCTGGGGGGCACAAACAGATATAGTGAGGGTCTGGGGGGCACAGAGTGGGCCTGGGGGGACAAAGACACACAGAGGTGCGCAAAGAGACACACTAAGGGGCACAAAGAGATGCAGAGAGGCAGAGGGGGGACAAAGAGACCCAGAGCGTCTGAGGTGACAGAAACACACAGAGGGGCTGGTGAAGGGGAAAAAGACACACACAAAGGGGTTGGGGGAAGAAAAAGACACACAAAAACAGGCTGTGGGGGACAAAGAGGTACACAGAAGGGCTGGGCGGACAAACAGACACACAGAAGTATGGGGGGGAAGAGACACAGAGGGGAAGGGGAAAAAGGGACACAGAGGGGAAGAGGAAAAGAGACAAACAAAAGGGTTGAGGAAAAAAAGAGGCCTGTCAGCCACAGCAGCCAGCTTAACTGCCAGCGGCCAGAGCAACCAATCTGCCAGTCGACCACAGCAGCCTGCCAGCCAGCAACAGTAATTAAGGAGAGAAGAGCCAACTTGGAATGGATATCAGAGAGCTATGTTATATTACTATATTGTGAATGGGGGCCAGAGTGTTAGAGAGACCCCTCTCCATGGCCCATTAGACTCCATTGTAGTCTCTAATGGGGCCTTGAGGGGACTCTTTCTAGCATACAGTTTAAAAATTTGTGCAATAAATATTCTTGAAAAACAAATAAATATTGTGGGTGTTTTTACATTTTAAAGTTGGTGTGTGTGAGTGTGCCAAATACAGGATCCGCCCCAGGTGCCAAATGCTCTAGGTACGCCCCTGGCTTTATGTGTGTACAATGGCTCCATGCGTTGTGTTTCATTCACTTAGAAACCATTAATGGGAAATATACACATAAGTGAACAGAAGCCACCAAAGACTTCCACCTATTTGTTCAAACTTTCTCCATGAATTATTTTTCATTGAAAGTAGTGCTGCTCGTGGCTACATTGTATAAGTGCAAGCGCTACCACAATAATTCTTATGGGACTTTATGGAGCATCAGAGCCAGATTACAGATAGAATGAAGATGACTTTAAGAGCTTCATTGCAATTCCCTGGCACTTCTCAATGACTTAGAGTGCTGGCTGTAGCTCTATGAGTCATTGAGAAGTGCCGGGGGTCCACAAGGTTGCTCTTAAAATCATCTGCACCTGATATTAGTGCAGACTACAACTCTCCCTCAATGGACCATCAGGAATCCCGCTCACCTACCACAGGGCAACCAGGGTATCTGCTTTCCAGTGAACCCTCAACTGGACCACCAGAGATCCAATAAACATGCCTTCCACTGAACCACAGAAATAACAGCCACTTCCTACAAACACAACAGTTGGACTTCTCCACACAGGGCTACCATCAGAACTTTTGGGGCCCTTTACAAAGCTTAATGCCTGGGCCTGGCCTGGAGACTGCCCACAAGGCCCGCCCCTGAGCCTGCTCACAGGGAATGTAGTGCATATGTGTAGGGGCCGGGTGGGTGTTGTGTGTGTGATAATGAAATGTATTCTATAGGGAATCCACCCGGCATGTAAATGGTTAAAAACCCATTAATCACTCGATTCCATTCCGACGTCATCCAACATCAATAAGATTAAGTGGTCTGGGTGACTATAATGTCCCTTTAATCCAGCTCTGGGGATCATGCATGCATGTAATGCCATAAATTTGGAAGCTCATCAATTCTCTAACAGGAGGGGCGGAGCTAACTACCATACCGCATGGTTACAAGTCTCCTGAGCTCCGGCAAGACAAAGGCAATATCCGCTAATCAGATCCGTAATACAGCTACTTTCACCTCCCCGAGACATCACCTGCCATAGGAGACAATGGGGAAACACTCCCGAAAATCCCGAGGCTAAGGAGGAGAGCATGCCTGAGATATCGGGCTTCTATTTTCACAATCAGGTAGGCCCAAAATGGTCGACCTGATGCCTGACTCACCTCATGGTTCCACATCAGTATCCGAAGATAAAGCAGGGGACCCCGCAGAGGTGCAGCCGCAGCCTTGAGGCAGCAACCTGAACCTCAGTGGTATATGAAATCTGACATCATAACAATGACTACTGACCGCAAAGCATTCTTCTGTCCGAAATGGCGGTGCTAAAAGCAGACCTGAACACGCTGTCTGGCAGAATAAAAGCCACGGAGGACATTATCCAGAGTCTGGGCATCCAGCAGAACACCACTGCAAACCAGCTCCACGAGGTCTCGAACGCATACACAGCGCTCAGTGTTAAGGTGGGACAGCTTGAAGACATTACACGCCAATGCAATCTGAAAATCAGGATGATCCCTGAGATTATTGAAGCTGGCGAGTTGCCACAATTTATCAGACGGTTAATGTCCGCCACCCTACCACACAAGCAGGCCAAGAACATACTGCTGGAAGGAATTTACCGCTTGCCAGTGAACCCCAACAATAAAGCCTCTTTTCCCAATGATGTAATTCTGAGCTTCAGGTCACGATCTGACAAATAGACTTTTCTGGCCACAACAAAAGGCCAATCACCTTTTATATTACAACTGCTACTGCCTCAAAGAGCAAAAAGTCTACTCATTGCTGGGACGTGGATAATGTGGCGGTCTTCACACCTGCTGGTTCTGCGGCTCCAGGATAAGGCAACAACGGGACATACCTGTACCCATTCACCTGTGTTTTCTACATCATTGTTAGGTCATTCTCAGTTGAAGTAGTTTTATTTTCTTGGGTTTTAATTTTGATTGCTGCACTGCTCAGTTGCTTACGGTTGCCCTCCAGTGGTCACCCGACTACTCTGAGCTTCTTAGCTTTAATATACATGGCTATTAAAGCGGCTTACCTGCCTTCCCTGCCCCCTCCCCCACCCCCAGTCTCCAGGGTTATGCAGCTTACTAATACGACCCGTAGGTCGGGTCACCTAGCTATCGACACTACAGCCTTTACCACACCTAACTTAGGCCACTTAAGCTTCAAATGCAAACACCTACTATGTTTTACTTGTTACCTATATGTGTGACTACAACTTTATTGCATTGTCTTGTTTTCTTGTACTCCCCCCCCCAAAAAAGTGCAGTTTTCCCTTATTACAATACGACCTAGATTGTTCCTCTTATCGTAAAATGCAATATCTATAATGTACCAATGCACGACAAAATAAAGACTTTAAAAAATAAATAAATAAAAATAGCTAACAGAGACCAGGGATTGGTTGTGAAATTTGGGGGGAAATGTAAAATCAGAGCAGGTAAATCACATACCAGGATAAACCATCAAAAGTCACATTCTGTAGGTATTTTCTTTTTAAACAATATAAAATAGTCTTCTGGGGATGCCCTCTGGAAATATTAGAAACTACCAGAAATCAAGTTCAAAGGGCCTGTGGAAAACGGCGGTAGGAGTCCTCTCACCTCTTCCAACATCTATCTCTAAAGCAAACTACTCAACTTCAGAAAAAACTCTCAGGATGAGTTGTTTTGGAAATCAATATGGATTCCTCTGTTAATGATGACACCACATTCTGTAGCAGTAAGAATCATGAGAGAAGTAAATAGATTTGCTTGAAGAGCAGGACGTGAATATTCCTAATTTGGGCTGTTCACATACAAACACAAGCACTACATACAAACACAACCCTGCATTCAAATGCATCATTACATACAAGTACACCAGAGAATTCCTGTGGCATTTGTACATAAAATACACCTTTGCATACACAAATATATACTCTATACAAAACATGCTTATATTCAAACGCACAAATACTGCTCACAAATACAACCTTACAAGGATGGGCAAATGGATTGGGTAGATTCCTAGCTGGCAAAGCATAATGGGAGTTGTATGAAGATGTGGCTTTATCTTTTACTGGCTTTAAACTGTCACACATACAGACACACATAAAAAACACAGACACACATAGATACACACACAAACACACCTGCAGATACACAGACGCAAACACTAACACACATGCAGATACACACACTGACATAGCATACAGTTTACACATTTGTGCAATAAATATTCTTGAAAAACAAAGAAATATTGTGTGTGTTTTTACATTTTAAAGTTGGTGTGTGTGAGTGTGCCAAATACAGGATCCGCCCCAGGTGCCAAATGCCCTAGGTATGCCCCTGGCTTTATGTGTGTACAATGGCTCCATGAGTTGTGTTTCATTCACCTAGAAACCATTAATGGGAAATATACACATAAGTGAACAGAAGCCACCAAAGACTTCCACCTACTTGTTCAAACTTTCTGCATGAATTATTTTTCACTGAAAGTAGTGCTGCTCGTGGCTACATTGTATAAATGCAAGCGCTACCACAATAATTCTTATGGGACTTTATGGAGCATCAGAGCCAGATTACAGATAGAATGAAGATGACTTTAAGAGCTTCATTGCAATTCCCTGCCACTTCTCAATGACTTAGAGTGCTGGCTGCAGCTCTATGAGTCATTGAGAAGTGCTGGGGGTCCACAAGGTTGCTCTTAAAATCATCTGCACCTGATATTAGTGCAGACCACAACTCTCCCTCAACGGACCACCAGGAATCCCGCTCACCTTCCACAGGGCAACCAGGGTATCTGCTTTCCAGTGAACCCTCAACTGGACCACCAGAGATCCAATTAAACATGCCTTCCACTGAACCACAGAAATAACAGCCACTTCCTACAAACACAACAGTTGGACTTCTCCACACAGGGCTACCATCAGAACTTTTGGGGCCCTTTACAAAGCTTAATGCCTGGGCCTGGCCTGGAGACTGCCCACAAGGCCCGCCCCTGAGCCTGCTCACAGGGAATGTAGTGCATATGTGTAGGAGCCGGGTGGGTGTTGTGTGTGTGATAATGAAATGTATTGTATAGGGAATCCACCCGGCATGTAAATGGTTAAAAACCCATTAATCACTCGATTCCATTCCGACGTCATCCAACATCAATAAGATTAAGTGGTCTGGGTGACTATAATGTCCCTTTAATCCAGCTCTGGGGATCATGCATGCATGTAATGCCATAAATTTGGATGCTCATCAATTCTCTAACAGGAGGGGCGGAGCTAACTACCATACTGCATGGTCACAAGTCTCCTGAGCTCCGGCAAGACAAAGGCAATATCCGCTAATCAGATCTGTAATACAGCTACTTTCACCTCCCCGAGACATCACCTGCCATAGGAGACAATGGGGAAACACTCCCGAAAATCCCAAGGCTAAGGAGGAGAGCATGCCCGAGATATCGGGCTTCTACTTTCACAATCAGGTAGGCCCAAAATGGTCGCCCTGATGCCTGACTCACCTCATGGTTCCACATCAGTATCCGAGGATGAAGCAGGGGACCCCACAGAGGTCCAGCCGCAGCCTCGAGGCAGCAAAGCCCTGTTTAAAAAGCAACCTGAACCTCAGATTAAATTGTTTTAGTGCTATCCCTTTAACAATGTCAAACAAAATATGGCAATCCTTCCTCCAGAACACACTCTAAAAGACATACCATAGGAAACAAAATGACACTATTTTTTCAAGGTTACTTTCTTGTTCAAAACACACTGCAAAAGAATAAAACTACCAAATACGTTTTCCAACTATGTTCACCATTCTCACACTCTACAAAATACGCAATGCAAACAAATGAAAATTATATTCAAAGCAGCTCTGTCACATTCTGGGGTCTTTGCCTGATGCTATCCCCTAGTGCAGTGGTTCCCAACCTTTTGTCACTTGAGTATTCCCTGGCAGGCCATTTCCATAAATTGTACTCCTCCCATTAACAAATTGTTTCTAATTAATATAGTTACATTTAATTCAAATGTATATGTTTTTCTCTGTCCCATCTCCCCTTTTTCTCTGCCCTAGGCTCTCCCTGCTTCTCCTCCGCCCCAGGCTCTCCCTACTTCTTCTCTGCCCCAGACACACAAACTGTCACACATACAGACACACATAAAAAACACTGACACACATAGATACACACACAAACACACCTGCAGATACACAGATGCAAACACCTACACACATGCAGATACACACACTGACATACATATAGGTACAGATGTACAGACACACAGATACAGTGATGCACAGACATACAGATAAAACACTAACATACATACAAAGACACACAAAAACATACATACAGATACACAGATACAAACACTGACACACATACAGATACAGACACAATAAAACACTGACACATATGCAGATACACAGACACACAGATACACACACTGACACACATACTGGTACACAGATACATACCCTGACTCAAAGATAAATTCACTGACACATATGCTGATACAGTGAAACACAGCTACATACACTGATCCACATGCAGATACACAGACACACAGACAGACACACTGACACACATACATGTACACAGATACATACCCTGACACAAAGATACATACACTGACACGTGCAGATACAGTGAAACCCAGATACATACACTGACACACGTGCAGATACACAGACACAGACACACACAGATTTACACAATGACACACAGATACATAAACTGACATACATGCAGATACAGATACCTCCACTGACACACAGATACACTGACACAAATTCAGAAACAGACATACAGAAATAGACATTGACACACATGTAGACACACAGATACATATGACACACAGATACATACCCTGACACACATGCAGATACAGACACATAGACATATACCCTGACACACATACAGATATACACCCTGACACACAGACACACTGACAAATAGATACACACTCTGACACATATGCAGATACACAGACACATATATACATACACCGACACACTTAGGAATACATATACTGACACACATACAGATACTCCGATACACATACAGATACATACCCTGATACACACACTGACACACAGATACATACTCGGACTCACATGCAGATACAAAGACACATAGATACATACACTGACACTCTTAAAGATACATACCCTGACACGCATGCAGATACATACCCTGACACACAGATACACACTCTGACACACAGATATACACCCTGACATGCAGATGCACACCCTGACACACAGATGCAGATACACAGATACACATGCAGATACAGAGACATACACACTAACACACACATACATATACTGACAAACATGCAGATACACAGACACAAACACTGACACACATCCTCACGCACAGATAAATACCCTGACACACAGATACACATGCAGATACACACCCTGACACACAGATACACACATTAACACACAGATACACACTGACACACATGCAGATACACAGACACATAGGTATATACCCTGGCACACACTGTACTGGGTGTGAGGGGTATTCTATGCATTTGAGGGGTGCTCTGTGTTTGTAAGGGGTGCTGTATTTGTGTGTATATGTGTGTGTGAGGGGTGCTCTGTGTGAGGAGTGCTGTGTTCGTGAGGGGTGTTGCATGTGTGGGGTGCTGTGTTGGTGAAGGGTACTGTGTGAGGGGTGCTCTGTGTTTGAGGTGTGCTGTGTTTGTGAA